GTTGTTTGAGCTTGGGTATGTACAATTATTCTCCAAAATATAAAGGTCTTGATGAACTTCTTTTTATTCTTTATTTTCCTGTACTTGAACATCAACGTTTACTAGAATTTCTTTTTCACCAGTACCAAGCTTATCTTGCTATTCTTCATTTTGTTCATTAATACCATTGGCATGTTCATCACCTGCAGTACTGGTTTCTTTTATTTCCTCCAAGGAGGAGCCCTCTTTCTCTTGCAAAAACTCGATACCTCCGACTGAGGGAGTTGGCTCACATGCTTTAGAGAAATTCTCTTTTTTCCTCTAAACTTGAGTTTTTGCAGTAACATGATTTTTAGACTGTATGCAGCATTTTTCGTTGTGGCCTAAGAGTTTACAGTGATTACATCGAACTGGCATCCAAGGGACTTCAACCATGATTGAGACCTTTGCCCCATCTTTTAGTTCCACTTTAATGTATTTAGGAATAGGGTCTATTGCTCTTATTTCAATGCAGAGCTTAGCATATTGAAGATGATTTTTCGTTGCAGTTACTGAATCCATAGTGAGTGGAATTCCTATTGCACTACCTATGTAACTAAGGCCTGAACGAGAGTACAACTCTAGGGGAATATTATGTAAATGGACCTAAATAGGCAAGCTTGAAAGATCAAAGTTCAGTTTTTGAAGGTTGGACTCCTATGTCCTTAAGATAATCGGCTTGTTCAAGATATGCCAAGGGCCATTTTCAAGGACCCAGTCACGAGCAATAGAAGAGGGGAACGAGAAAACATATAAGTTATTTCTAGTAATACTTACCTAGATTTGTGCACTCTCCATAGCTTTCTTCCACAGGTTGTTTACAATTCTGTGCATTGAAGCAAAACTCAGAGCAGGACCAATGAATTGGCCGACCAGTGAAAGATTCCACTCCTTGATTCCAGCTTCTAGCACTTCTTGAGGGGGATGAACCATTTTTGTTCCATCGCTAACCCTAGGTGGGTGAAATTCCAAATATTGGCCTTCAGAACACCAAAATAGCTTTCTCCATTCCATGGGTTTTTTGTGTGTTGTGCAAAGGATAATATTTGAGCTTTCAGGACAAAGGAAGAGCACCGAAAGAAGACAGAAGGCACCGGAGAACACGGCGGAGAACCCAGGTTCTATTAGCCCTGCTAACGTGAACCCAGAATTCGAGCGACGCGGCAAAAATTCTTACTTAACTGAGTAGGTATTATTCCCCCTTAGTCTTTTAATTGCTTGTGTCGTAGTTGGGTTCTTTGGCTTTCTTCTCGTTGTTGATGATAGTGGCTCTCATTACGAGTCACCAATTTTCGAGTGTGATTTTTGTTGGCTCAACTTCTTTTACAAATTCTACTCTTTCAAGAGCGCTTCTCAGCTGCTTATTGGCTTTGACGAATGTGAGTTTATGTTGGTTCAGCTGAAGGTTTAGATTCCCCAGCAATGGACTCTTCTCTTTCCTTCTCCTGGAGTTCCGAATGCTCTTTCTTCACACTCTATATCTCCATCTCCAGAGGCTAGACCATACTTCTCAACGAAACAATTTGCAATGATTATTTAGCTCATCTAGCTCCAAACTAACAGTTGACCCATGCTAAATACATCAATATGAATGGTTAAGATAGAGGGTATTGGGTTTGATTATTGTCTTCCAGAAATACATCAATATGAATGGTTAAGATATTATATGAGAAAACTAACAATATTAGCATTTTAAAATTGAACCTAAGGATGAATTAAAACAAATATGAGGTCTCTTTAAACCTAAGAATAAAAGTTCAAATAAGCATGCCAAGAAAGTACGAGGCACGCAAAGCTATCTCCAAACATATTGTTAATACTATTTTTAGGGAAAACTAAACATTTGGTACCTAAGCTATCAGTTTTGTTTTGTTTTAGTACCTAAACTTTCATTTGTTTTAAAATCATAAAAAACATTAATTTGTTGTTTTATTTTAGTACATCGACGTAAAAAATTCAACAACAGCTTGTGGCGTTTTTATAGATAAATTATATCATTTATCACTTAACTATCTTTTCACTCCTATTTTGGTCACTAAAGTTTAAAAATGTTCAATTTAATTACTCAACTTTCTAATTGCTCATGTTTTAATCACTCTAATTTATTTTATTAATAATTTGTATGACATGAAAAATTTTATTATTATTTTATTAATATATAATTAAATTAAAAAAGTTTAAAAGTTAGAGTGATTAAATTAGAAGTAATTTGAAATTTAAGTAATTAAATTAAAAAATAAACTTTAATGACCAAAATATGAATAAGAAGATAGTTGAGTAATTAATGATGTAATTTATCCGTACAAAAATAAATGTTTTACCTGTTGCGCTAAGTTTTTAATAGCGATGTACCAAAGCCAAAATGAAGCAAAAATAAAAGTTAAGTATGATTTTGAAACAAATGAAAGTTCAAATACTAAAAAAAATAAAACTAATTGTTTAGATAATAAACGTGTAATTTATCCTTATTATCATTATAGAACCCAAATCCTTATAAAAACGGACAGCCCGACGTTTTTGCAATTAACTTTTATCACGCATTAATTGTCTATTTCTTAGACGTTCCCATCATTATTAGTATTTTATATTGGTTATTCAGATATATCAAATTAAAGTCTTCAACATAAATTATCAATAATCTTTATAGTAAGTGATTAAAAATTTTCAGTTGACATTTCTTCTCTACCTTAAATTATGAGTTTAATAAATTAGTATTTTATATTGGTTATTCAGATATATCAAATTAAAGTCTTCAACATAAATTATCAATAATCTTTATAGTAAGTGATTAAAAATTTTCAGTTAACATTTCTTCTCTACCTTAAATTATGAGTTTAATACTTATTAAAAGAAAAATTCTTGTTCGCATATAATTGTATGTAAATTTTTATCTTTGATATAATATATATATTTATACACTACAAACAAGATAGAATTATATATACTTTAGATATTATATATATATATCAATATAGGTTTTTATAGAAATGGACAATACAGTGTCTGAATTCAAATAGGAATACGAAACAATTAAGGGATTTTATAGAAATAGAGAAATGAGGACAGAGCAGCAGTGAGAAGGCAATTGGTATTACTGAACACTTGAATACTGTGTGTGGCATTCCTGAGCATGACGCCAAGTAAACTATATCATAACACACAACTTTGTTTGCATCTAAAATCTCTCTTCGCTCTACAGTCTTTTCTGAAATTTGCATTTACTAATACATATAATGAATGATATATACAAAGCCCTTTTTTTTCTCTCTCTCCTTCACGCTGATAATTGAGACGATGATGGCCCGATCTGACGCCTTTCCTTCCCTTCCACTGACGACTTGTACGACTTTGTTTTTCTTCGTAAAACGGATTGACAGCTCTGGTTCCTTCCTCTCATTGCTCTGCACGTAATTGCTGATGCAAACAAATCCCTTTTTTTCTCTCTGCCGTCATAACACAATTGTACAGTGAGAGAGAAGTGAAGGAACCGAGGTGTATAGGAAGTGGTGAGATGTGAAAAGGTCGAAAAGGTGAGTTAAAATGGAAGGTGGGCATTTGGATTCTGGGAAGAGGAGCATTGAATTCCAATATCACTATCGCACGATTTCAAAAAGCGTGCGTTACGGTGATCAGTCTCTCACGTCACTCCTTTTTTTTTCCACTGAGAGGAGGCAGATTGCATTGTTTTATGATAAAACAAACAGAGGCGTATCTAGCCGATGCAAGTATTTATTGGCATGACATGGCATGCATATGTACCGATTCAAGACTGATGGTTGTGCATGCATGCCAAACTGGCATTCTCTTGAACACTTATTTTCATTTTTTATATAAAATGAAAATATGTGCAGATTTTGCAGAGCACAATATTCATTTACTGGATATAACAGTTTTATGATCTTTCTTTGGATCTTGATGAGATGATGATGAAATAATATTCTGCTTCTCCATGGCTCAGTACTGAAAGATTTTGTTTTTGGTGATAATATTTGATATTGGGCCCACTTCGTCTCAGTGCCGTGTTGCTTGCTTATACAGCTGCTTCGGCATTGCCTTAGCTGACAGCAGATGAAAGAAGAAATGCCTCTCAACACAACCAGTAAGAACTCGAAACAAATAATAATATTATCCACATAAATATATATATTTTGATACTCGAAGTTGACGTATCATTCAAATTAGTCAAAGAAAAATAATTATTAATTTAAATAAAAAATCAGATTAAACTATTATTTTACATTAATAAAAAATTAATGACCATCATCTTTTATACTAGAGTTTCCGACTGGAAGATGCCTCGGATTGCACTCCGTTGAAAGCTTCGGCCAACTTGTGCAGATTCATAATCATCATCGCTTCTGGTAATTAAATCAAAAACTTCCCTCTTCTTCAATATGATAAGAAAACCAAGCATGATCAAATCTGATTTTTTTATTCATTAGCGAAACAATTAACAATTTGATGAAGGAAATGGAGGGGCTGAGCCGTAATGATTGGTTTGATGATCGTTGATGGTTACGGTTTGGGAGAGAAATATGCGACGTTGATGGAAGATTACCGGCTGCTGAGAGTGATGAAATATTAAGCCCCTCCGGCGGGAGAGTACACGACCGTGGCTCTGCCTCCCTCGTCTTCATCGTTGGAGATTTTACGGCAATAACATCAAACGCTACTTTATGTTTCAACTTTTTTTTTATAAATCTCGTCATCTTTTCTTTTCTTTCTAAAATTTATCATATTTAGTTTGAAAAATCCTAAATTTAATAGAGCCAGTTATATTGATTCATGACATAAAATTATACGACCGATGGATGTTGAATTAAACAAGCACTAAATTTCCAAATTAAAATTGCACGCATGGAGTAACGGAAGAATGCTTGCGGTGAATCATAGGATGATGTTGAGTGGAGACAAAGATCAGTGTTGTTTGGGAACATTTGTGGTTCAGGGTACGATCGTTAAAGCAGCGAAAGAGATGGTCAATGAGGAACACCCTCGAGTTTACAAGGATTTCGATTTCATGGACTTGGTCAATTAAGCAAACGCAGAGGGTTCATTGCTAATCGACTCGGATAAGAAGCTGTTCTTATATGCTGCCTTACCAGGAAATTAAGTTAAAAATTCGAAAAAGTTTTAAGCATCAATGACAGACATGAAATGGACGGCTCTTCCTAGTAAGTAGGGATCGCTACAGGTCCATATCTGCAATTTCTGTAATATCCGGATTTGAAATTCGATTAAACCTTATACCTCTCTTTTATCTTCAGTACCAGCTTCTTCTGCTTGAACCAGATTTCTTCCCTCTCTCGCCATAACAACTGTTCCTTGAGGATTTATAAAGTAATGAACGCCATGAGCATACTTCATATCAGTTGCATAACCATTCTAGCTCGATCCGGAAACAAGTAACTATAGCAACAAAAATGGATACTGATTTAGATGGTTCACCTGTTTGTATTGGAATTCGATTGCAGGAACCAGTTGCTTGATTTACATTACCAGAAAGGGTTGTCTTTCCCCGAAGTTCCCGTGAGAATGCCATGTTACCAACTGCTTCAGGTTCCCCATCGGGTACATAATTTTCACCAACTGTCCTCGCAGCAGATTTAGGAGAGTAAGTTGTCGACCAAGATCCTCCGTTTGATCCAGCCAATGCCAATATTACGTCTGCCTGAAATGACCATGCAGCATACAGTGGTCATTATCGGAACTATATATTAAGAAACAAAATACCTGACATTAAAAAGAAACCCTCGAAGGACATCTTTTAAGATTATGCAGCCATTCTATATCATGTTTGTATAAGTTAACAGAAGTGTAACAGCAAACCAACCAACCCTCTTTGAGTTATAAAAAATCCGTTAATCTTTTGTTCAATCTTTAAATTCGCATGTATAGAATTATCACAAATCCCTACTTTCAAAGGCTTCGTCTGGAAGCCAATGGTCCCTGTGGCACAGTGCGAACTGTGCGATTAAATGCCTTTATTTGGAACCCGTGTTCCATTAGTCCTCTTATGTTGGTGAAAAAACAGCATTATGTTATTATTTGAACAAGTCGACCACAAGCTGCCTGTCCCACTAACCCAACTACATGAATCGACAACATACTCTATGGAACATATCACAGGTTCAATCCTCCTATTCTCCCAGCCATCATGGAGATCAGAATAATCATCAGAGTTATCTCATCTGATGTTTCAGAAAACATGTTGACATAGCAAATCTTATGAGAACTTCCAAGTCCAATAAACATAGATAAGGATGTTGATCCAATCCCGGGATATACGTAAAATATGGTGTTAAGCGCAGCTGTCCTCTTGTGAATGACATTGATTCAACCAGCAACATAGAAATTTGAAACCTAATTGCATCAGCAAGCAATTCATGGACTATATAAAGTAACTATGATATCAACTTAGCGTAGCTGATGCACACCGGAATGTTCAATTAGATGAAATACTCGAATCGATAGAAGTTTATATGCAAATCTAATAGAAGACGATTGAAATTAAATCACTTTGAGTTCCATTAGCAGGTGATAAGAAACTGACCTTCTTCGGATGCACATCATCAAAGACATGAGCCCGACCAGCATAAAATATAGTCATTTGTTGGCTGGAAGTTGTTAACCTCTGTTCACTGTAGCAAAATAAAAAAAACATTGCATTTATTATCTCTAAATTTCTTTTCTTTGCAGATCTCAACAATAAAAAACAAGAAACAAAGGCCATATTATATTCACCTTGGAGGAACTAAAGACTCTGTTTCTGAAATATGAGCAGACTTGGTCCTTTCTCCACTTGGCACTATCCCAGATGAACCCTTTTCAGTGGGCACACTGCTAGCAGTAATAAAACTCAAAATTCCAGGGCATTTAATTCCGGTTCTAGATCCTTCATCGGCAGCAGCCTGAGATATAACAGATGGACCAACATTTGAATCCTTGAACCTGTTTGAAGCTTGATGCACAAAAGGCGCAAAGTGACCACCACGTGAAGCATACTGAACTGCAGAGGGTACAGACCGCTCCCATTTGGTAGCATCACCTTCGAGACTGCTAACAGTGGGAGGATGCAATATAAGAGACGTAGAAGAATGCCTCATTGACTTCATACCAAGGAATACATCGTCCTCATTGGACCTTCTAGGTCGATCTCCTCCGGAACCATTGTGAAGCATCTGAACACAAACATAAAGAAAAATATTTAGTACATATGAATGACTAACAAAAGAAGGAATGTTTCTCTTTCGAAGTAAAACATAAAACATGATAAGATACAATATCAACTAATACCTTCATCAAATGCAAGATCTCAAGAGATTCATGAGCCATAAAGGCTGAATCCGAATTATTTCTCTTATTTCCTGCCAAACTGTTGCTTTTACCATAGTATGGAATCCCCTCGAGATGATTTCCGATATGTCTTTCTACTAAATGATGAGTAAATGTATCAAACTTTAATCGTGATAGGTAGAATCCCAATTCGGAAAACATAGGTATTTCAAAAATCTAGCCACCTCAGCAGTACAATTCCGTATTATTATGAGCAAATTTGACAAGCTAGAAGATTAGGAATGTCGGCATACTGAGATAATATACACATAATGCTTAGCTAAAGACTGCTATTTTGCAAAGAGAAACTTTATGGGGGCAAAAAAAAAATTCATTACATAGACGCATCACGCAGCAGCATTAAAATCAAACACCATAATGGCTTAACCTACCTTCAAAAAGCAGAACTAAAATTCACCACTGAAAGTAAAATAATTAGAGAAAATATATCATGGGATAGTAGGGATGACCTATGGGAGGAGCAACCACCCCCATTGGCTGCTGAGCTCACCAAAACTAATCCATCAAGCCTCAAGCAGAGTCCGGAACCCAAAATCAAAACTACTCATCAAACTATACGGCAAGAATCATACTTTCCCCATTCCATCATTCACTAATGAGCTAATATAGTCCAAGTTTTCACATTAAAAAAGAAGAAGAAAAACAGCAAAAAAGAATGAAGAGAAACTAGTCTAAAAACCCAAGATTACTCAAAGCTTAAAGCAAAACAACCCCATTAAAACTTTAGCATAGAAGAAAATGAAGCAAAAATAATAAAAGAAGAATCTTTTAAGGGAAAGATAGAGAAACTAAGCAGAACACAGATCAGAGGTCGAAGAGATGGGTGCACGGCCAGCACCGCCACCACGACCAGAAGAAGCACCGACGGAGACTGAAGGAGACGGGGAAGCATCTGGAAACCTTGAATCACTAGCCTTAGGGGTTAAAACGACAGAGGAATTTGCAGCTTTGGTTCCCAGTAAGTCATGAAACATCGTTGGCTTTACTTGTTGCTGGTGTTGCAAACGAATTGGAGTGTTGGCATTGTTGGTGTTGGTAGTTTTGCTTTGTTGTGCCATTTTCAGAACGGCCATTTCATCATCATAACCAATATAGACTCCACATCATCATCATCATTCATCTGCAGTTGCTGCTCCTCCACCAATCCATAGCCTAGCTTCTCAATCATCTCTCTCTTTTTCGTCAAAAGAAGCTCGGCTTTTGAAAGAAAAAAATAATTAAAAAGGGAAATGAAGTGTCAGACACTCAGAGTCAAAGTCCTTTTTTGAGGAATGAAGACAGAGAAAGGGAGCATTAAAAAAGCAAAAGTTTTTTGTTCTTTTTTTCCCTCTCAAATTTGTTGGGGGATTCTTTATGTCCTCTGTTTGATCTGTGTCTGAATGTTGGGATATTTATATTAAAAAGAAAGTTTTTAAAATGCATCGTTAGAATTGGGATGATGTAATTTTTTCTTAATATAAATGGTAATAAAAATAAGATTAATATTTAATTATTAAATTAATAATATTATGAATTAAACAATTTCTCGAATCTGAGTTTGAGTACGTCATTCATAGAAGTGTTTGAGAATCTATTGTCAAAAGATTGAATTTTTTTAAAAAAATATTATTTTTTAATAATTTTATATTAATAAAATAAATAAATACCACTATAAGATTTTTTGTAACAAGAATTGTACGAATTAAAATAATTCAGCTTTAAAATAAAAATAAATCTTTTAAAAGTCATATATATATGCATTTTTTTAATTGAATGATTTAAAAGTATTTTAAATAATTAAATTATTATTTTAAATATTAAATACTAAACTGTTAATAAGATTATATAATTAATTAAGCTATAATTAATAAAAAAATTGTACAAAGTTAGATAATAAATGTCAGTTGTCAGCGTGTGTAAATGTTTGAAATAAATCTGCTTAGTTACTTCAAATATTAATGGGGAATTTCATCTCTTGAAAACGTCATAGCTAGAGCTTTAAATAATTTGAGGAATGTCCGTTTCATTAATGTCTTGGAACTTTGAAGTCATGTTGTGGCCTAATAGTTCAAACTACCATACCTATTTCATTTTTCATAAACATTGTTATTAAAAATATATCAATGATTTGAAATCAATTCTAAATACGATGGTTTTACTACGAAGGGAACCCATCAGTATTAACTGACTAGGGCAACTCATCTAGGAAAACGACTACCACTAATATCAAGGAAATGTTCGTATCTTTCAATAATTATTACTAGCTAATACAATCTATTTAAGCTACTAACTCGAATACTTTATTTTCTTTTAAAAAGAAAGACATCGATATTTAGGGTTGTAAGTGAGACGAGACAGATCGCGAGTTACTCGAGATCAATTCGATTAAGGCTCGATAAATACTCAGATCGAATGGATTCGACTCGAGCTCGACTCGAGTTCTTAACGAGCCGAAACGAGCTACTCGATATTCGACTCGAAAAGCTCGTGAGCAACTCAAAAATATAATATATTAAGATTTTATTTTTTTAGAAAATAAATTATTAATAATATTAATATTTCTGCATTGATTTTTTTTAAATACAGTAAGATTTTTATGTGTTTATGGTTCATGTTCGAGTTTGAAGCTTCAATCTGGTTAAGTTTAAGATTTTTTTTCATTTCAAACCTTTTCGAGCTGTTCACGAGCTTCAGTTTAGGATTTCGAGTTCGAGCTTGAAAATTTTAAACTCGCGAGTTTTCAAGTCGAGTCAAACTCTATTTCAGAATTTTCAAGTCGAGTCGAACTCTATTTCAAAATTTTCAAATCGAATCGAACTCAATAATACTCAACTCAACTCATTTACACCCTAGAGACATTTGAAGCAATACAAAAACATGTAATACGTCAAAGCAAAAACAAGCTTCATATGCTCAATATTCTGGCAGCTTTACTTAATATATGTGGCTAAAATCACTTGAGAATGCAAGGGTAAAAATCCCTATCAAAGAACTGTATAGTCAGGACAGGTTGTCCTTTTGTTGGCCCAAAGTTCGATAAAGAAAGGAACAAATCCGCTTATCAAATAACCTTTCCTGCTCAAAGGGTTGGTACACACGGTATAATAGGACTCATCAATTTGAGGATGTCAAGGACACCTGGTCATGCACTCATGCTGTATATAACATCAACACGAAACTTATATAAATATAACATATCTTAAACATTATTATTTATTATAATACGTGAAAATATACAAATACTTACAAGTCTAAGTGTGCAGGCCTTATATGGCAAAAATGTTGAAAAGAAAATGGACTGCTTTGAGCATGGAATGGGCCCAAAGTTTTACAAACCGAAAGAGAGTGTCTGATGTTGTGAATCAAACCGGCCGAATAAGAAACATTAGTGTGATTATTCAACACCATTTTTTAACCTTTTTGCCAAGCCACTGTTGAGTGAAATCCAAGATTATAGACGTGGGACTCCATCTTTGACAATGAAACAGTGAAACTGACAAAGGAAAGAGCTCTCTGTGCATCCACTTATCACCCTCCAGATCGCACCTTAATTACTTTCAATCATTGTATCCTTTGCGTCCCATGTGTGCAGCGCATAAAGCTAAAGCAGCTTTGATTTCTATCAAAGAGTTTGAAGAAGAAAGATGGTGGATTGATGGGGAGAGGATCACCTGCTACGGCAACTGTTTACTTGCATCTCCTCTGCTTGAATCAAAGATGTGAAAGCATGTTTCTCCTAGTACAATAGAAAAAACCTGGGAAATCACTGTCTACATATTTTGTGTACAAGAACTAGACTTCTTAGCTAAGTATTTAGCAGAGCTGACTCTTCTAAAGTATAACTTATTAAAGAAACTCAGATCTTTTAGAAAGACTAGCATTTATTTTTTTAACTATTGATTTAATGGTTCCTTTCATTTAGATGGTTAGTTGATGGATAAACTTATCGTCATTTATTGTTCGGTTGCTTGCATAATGTAGATAGACACTGCTGACTCATAGCTACGTTTACCGGTTGTCATGTTAGACCTTTATAACCTGTGACTTGGCATCAACCATTAAACCATCAACTTGAAGTTTATACATTAATAAATGATCAAACCATGGTCTGCTCTCATGTTGTTTAAGGTTATGTAAACTTTCACTTCTTAATCAATATACTGTAGCATATTACTGTTTTTCTTTAGATATATAAATTCGATTTATCTAAAAAATTAATTAAAATTGATCTTAATATATAATTTGATATATAATGTTTAATTTGTTTTATTATATTTATGATCCATGATTTTATTGCGTTAAAAATTAATTAAAAAAATGAGAAAGATCAAAATCGAAAAAAACAAAAAACAAAAAGGGCATATTATTATTATTCCTAAGAAATCTATCCAAGCAAACGAAGGAGGTCCAATCCTTACAGCACTTTATTATTGTTGTTATTATCTCGCTGTACAAACGAAACCCTCCTCACGCGCTTTCACTTCGCGCACCCTTTCCAAAGCTGAAAAAGGAAGCAGAAACAGCGCAGTTCATTTACGAACTCAACGTCGACTCCCCTTTTGGTCTTCTCTGTTCCACTCCTTAGCTTCTGACAATCTCAATTCGGTTCTCCCCGGTTCAGTCCTTTCTGGTACGATCTTCTTTCTCTCTTCTGTGTTTGCCTATTCATTCGTGTATATCCTTATCGTTTTTTTATTTGTTGTTTTTAGATTGAATTTTGTATTTTTGGGGGGTTCGTTGAGTGAGGATGGGTGGCTTTGTGTTTCCCAGGTTTCACTTTGATAATTTTTGAATATTAGTCAACGATTCCACTTGTGCGGCTCAGGGGTATAGAATTTCGTGTTGGTCTAGGAACTGAGTGTATTTGCCTAAGGGTCAGGGTACTGATTTGATCTCAAGTGCGGCGATTTCGATAGATTTTTTAAAGATTATATATATTTGAGTGTTTTACAAATGGGGTTTCCCCCTCTTCAAATTTCATTGAAGAAGAAATCAAGATAGACAGCTAATACGGTCTAGAAAAAATTGTGCAGCTAAAGGCACTGTAATAGTCACCCTCCGATTTGTCACTGTTCTTTCATTTTATAGGGGGTTTTCATTGAAATGTTCACCGTCCTTTTTTGTAGGGGTGGGTGGGTGCCGCTGGGGTGGGGATTTGAGGTAGGCGGAGGTGGGGTGTTCACTGCAGTGAAAAAAATTAGTTGTTGAAACAAAGTTAATTTCCTTTTCTTGCAATACTGAAGCCGATACTAATGTCACATTAGTCAAGATTATTGAGGAATTTCGATTTGGATTTCCCCATATCCTCTTTTCCTGAGCTAAAATTTCAAATGTGCAATGACTATATATTGTTTAAACTGAATATGATTTAGTGTTCATGGCCTTTGTTTGGTTGAGGCCTGAGTGTTCAATTCGTTAGCAAATCAGAAAGAAAATAGATGCAATGAGCTAGGAAAATTCCGCATTTAACCTTGTTGCACTGATGTGCAGTTTGAGGGTTATAATAAGAGAGTGCAATTTATTCCAGATATTGGCCATAATGCATCTAAACAGTCTTGGTTATCAGTTATATTGTGCTAGCAATTATTTTTCGATTCTTTCTTTTAAATTGGTTGTGTGAATGGAAGTCTGTAATTTTTGTGGATGTTGGTTGTTATAGTCCCTTTGTATTTCATAAATAGAATTATACTTTTATCATATATCTTTCTCTTTTCATTTATATTCAGGTCCAGAAGGAGTAAGAGATCACAATATATTTTCTGATTTAGTTGCTTTTTCATTCTCAAGGGAACAGGAATTGGTAATATATGCATTTATGGTGGCAAATAATTTAAGTTGATAATCGAAACTTGACAAATACAAGGCACAAAAGTGCCCATTGTTTCAGTGCTGTTAAGAAGTGGTACATAAAGCTGGTAACCTTGTTTTAGGTTTCCATGCTTACGTCATTTCCAGCCGTGTTGGTGAACTTAGATGGGTGTTTCCTCATTGGAACTGCATTCTGAAAATATAGCTGATACCTGTCAATTGTTAATGGAGCGATCAGACAACTTAAGTGAACATGTTATTGACATACCAAGGAATGGCGATGCTTCCTCATCAAACTTGTCTCATGAAACAACTTCGAATGGTTTGGATGTCTTGCAGCGTGAAGACAGACCGTCTAGTAGTACAAGAGCGCTAGTTTCTCAACCTCCAACATCTTCTTCCAATGTTACAAACTCAAGAACCTCATCTGTCGTAAGGAGAGGGGATGCCCGTCGTCGTCGGAGTCCTTTGAATTCTGGTCTGTGGATTTCTATTGAACTAGTTCTTACAGTGAGCCAAATTGTGGCATCTATTATTGTCCTGGCTTTGTCAAGGAATGAGCATCCCCGTACGCCGTTGTTTGTGTGGATTGTGGGTTATGCATCTGGATGTGTAACAACCCTTCCACTTCTGTATTGGCGTTACTGGCACCGTAACCAGGTTTCTGAGCAAGACTCAGCTCAACATCGCAACACTTCACGTATTAATGTCCCTGCCGGACCCTTTTCTCTCTCCGTTACCAGGACTTCTGATGGGGGTGATCAGCATACTGGAACTACATCTCCTAGGGGTGGTCAAAATGCAGTAGTAACAAGTGCAAGGTACACTTTTCTTATTGTTAATTTGAAATGAGACATGCAAAGTTCAGTTTAGTTGCCGACCAACTGTTTTTATCCTGTAGAATTAAAGCGCTAGTGGAATACTTCAAAATGGCTTTAGATTGCTTCTTTGCTGTATGGTTTGTGGTTGGCAATGTCTGGATCTTTGGTGGGCATTCTTCTGCCAATGAGGCTCCTAATATGTACAGGTAGTGGGCCTAGTGGCATTTTTTTTGCATTCATCTTATAATTTGTACTTTTTCCAAGAGTTTACCTTTTTCTGCTTTGCAGGTTATGTATAGTTTTTCTTACGTTTAGCTGTATTGGATACGCAATGCCCTTCATTATATGTGCCACAATCTGCTGTTGCCTGCCTTGTATAATCTCAGTCCTTGGATTTAGAGAGGATCTATCGCAGACCAGAGGTGCCACATCCGAATCCATAAATGCTTTACCCACTTACAAGTTCAAGGCAAAGAAAAGTAAAAGTGATGGTAGGGAAATAAACTCGGGTGCCGGTGAGGGTGGAGTTGTGGCTGCTGGAACTGAAAAGGAGCGCATCATCTCCGGAGAAGATGCAGTGAGTCTTTCTTTTGATTATTGTTTACAGAATTCAGTTGTATGTCTCACAGATCTCTCCGTTACATATTTTCAGTTGGAATTCATGATTGAGGATCTCATAAACGATATTTTAACATATTAAGTTTTATCGAGCATGTTTTCTTCGTACATTCTTCAACTATTTTCTGCCCATCATATTATTTGGGTTGTGAAACTGCTCAGCTTTGTAAGTTGCCGTTGTCACTTAACTATATGAGCTCCCGGATGACCAATAAGATCATGCACTCGGTTTCTGTGATTACCATAAGTTGTGATGAATATTTGGCACCGGTAAATTTACTTGGGAATTATTCATGAAACATTGTAGTCTGCTGGTTTGTTTTTTGTGAGTGCTTTTGTAATCCGATACATACTGATACAATGGCACCGCTGAGATTTTGTGTAGATCTGCTGCATTTGTTTGGCGAAATATGCAAACAATGATGAGCTGAGGGAGTTGCCATGTTCTCATTTTATGCACAAGGAATGTGTCGACAAGTGGCTTAAGATCAACGCTTCCTGCCCTCTTTGCAAGAGCGAGGTTGGCGAGAACTTACAGGACACAATCTCGGGTACAAGTGCCACCATCTTGAGTTCGCTCTCTGGAGCAAACGATAACCAGCGACAAGGTGAGAGAAGGAGCAGTAACAGTTCTACCAATTCCGGGTTTTAGTTCAATAATGTAGTGTAATGAAAATAGGGTAGTATAATATATTGATCCTCTGAAGTGCAGGATATCTGTCATCTGTTAAGGGTGATTGCATGAATCGAAATGAAATTTGATTAGTGGCTTAAATGATATAGATATATAATATTTTGCAGAGTTTGCAAGAATTTTCAGATATTTGATGTTTGATTTCAAAGCAATGAAAATTTTATAAATTTGATGAGATATTCAATTGATTTACGGGTTTCGATTCAATTCAATTTAATGAACTAATGGATTAAAAAACAAATTAAGAAATAAAGGCTTCTGTTAATAAGATTTTTTGTAGAAAAAAGTAGTCCTGTTATATATAAAAATATCATTTGATTTTAAATTACAGAAAAGTGACAATAGTTAAATATATAATCCAAATAAAAATACGTTAAGGAAAACTACCGGGTGCATTAAAATGCAAGTTTTTACCAATTTGAGGGTGGATTTGTGTTTTAAAATGAGATCCATTCACGAACTGGGTTAAGTAATTGTTAGGTAAGACCAGCAACCATTACAGTTGGACTGAAAAGCTCATTCGGCCCAAAATAGCAAATGGTACACGTGTCAATCTATTAATACGTCTCCATAATGTAGTAGCACTTCAGTTTAGGAATGGCAAAGGTTCGGGTTCGGGGCGGGTTTTGCTCGCCCGTCCCGGAACCCGAAATGAATTCCCGTCCTCGACTCGATCCCTGACGGATTTTTTATCGAGACGCCTCGTCGGAGATTTTTTTTACCCCGTCCTCGTCCCCGACCTGAAATATTATACCCGAACCCGAAAATATTTTATATATAATTAATATAAAATATATAAAATATTATATATAATTAATATAAAATATTATATATATATATATATATATATATATATATATATATATATAATCGGGGCGGGGATACCTTGCCTTGAACCCGAACCTGACCCGAAAAAATCCTCGAAAAAAATCCTCGATATCCGACCCGATATCATTCAACCCAACCCAACCCGACCCGAACTTGACCGGATTTCGGGTTTCCCCGTCGAGTTCGGGTCATACTGTCATCTCTACTACAATTTCATCTTTAAATAAATAAATAAAAGGCCTAAACTTCTGTCAGTATACGAAGAAATATATGTATTACTTTCTCTATTTTTCTTTTGAGATAATACTTTCTCTATTATTTTAATTTTTATTAAAACATTAATTTCATTACTTAATCTTTTTTTCATTTTTATTTTAATTATTAATTTTTTAATTAACTCAATCGAATTTTAATTTGCCCATTTATCAATTATTCAAGAGTCAAAGCATAAATAAAATTATAATTTAATAATCACATTTATTATTATGTATTAATTTTATTGATATGAAATTTACGTATCATCTACGTTATATTTTTAATTTTATTCTTTGAAAGATAATTTTTGTCTTGCAGTTTTATCGTTATCTCACGTCAACGATGTAATCATCATTTTTCGATGTTTTTTCCAATCACTAAAGATATAAACAAATTCTCTTCGTTGTTTTCTATCACTTTGTTAGTTTATATTTGACCTAATCACTTAAAACTTCCATTATAAATCTAAAACTTGTAGAACCCTAAATCAATATGATTTATGATATGTACTATTCAATTAATATTGAATCAAGATATGTAATTTACTTTCTTTTTCTCTATTTTTTTACCGTTGAGATTTAAAATAAGATACATGCATCATTATTAAAGAATTAAAAATAATTCAAAACTAATTTTCTTTTATAAAAATTAAAATTTTAAGATGATTTTATGATTTTTAAATAAAAATTTAATCTTAATGTTATTAAATATTTAACGATAAAATGATTAAAAATAAGAGTAAATTAAAAATTTATTGAATAAATTGGAAACTCTTAATTTTTTGTGATCAGAGTAGGAGTGACAAAAAGTTGAAGGATGAAATATAATTTACCCTTAGTTTTATTTATCTTTTTTGTTTAGGGTTCATAATTTCTTCGCAACAAAACAAACAAACTACTCAAGGCATCCAACGAGATTTCATCAACTTTTACCCTCTTTTTCTCTCTCTAATTTCAGTTCTGCTCTCTCGATTCAGGTTAGCTACCTAACTTCAAAATTCTAGATCATCTCTTTGATTAGTTTAGTGTACCCCCTAAAAATTTTAGTTACTTGTTTATTTAGGGTTTGTGACTTGAATTCGTTCCTGTGCTTGGAATTTTTGCGTTTTTCTTTCTTTTATTTAATGTTTCTGGACTTTGCATGATTTCCCCCATCTATTAGTTATCACTCGAATTGTTGTCATTATTTCGTTGAATCTCGTTTTTATTTGAAACAAATGTTGGTCGGTTACTTTAATTTCATGATTTAAACTACTTTGATTTGATTTTGATTCTATTAACTTTCTGTCTCGTATATCCCTCTTTTTCATTTTTGGACGTGGATAAAAATCGATCTGAGAATTTTCGTCAGTTAAAATTATATGTATATCCAGCCATCTTTTATTTTTAAATTTATATGCATATGCAGCCATCTTTTCTCTGTTTTTTTTTAAAAAAGAAGAAGATTATTTTAACTTTGAATGATTTTAGTAGTGTGGAAAAGTTTTAATCACTGTTTGACATGTTCCTTAATTTTGGAGCTTGATCTGCATGTTTGTTCTTTTGTTTCATTGATGAATTGAACATCTGAGCTTGTGAACACGATTTAATAGTGTAATGCTTGATTGATGATATGTTTACTAATTTACCATGCAGTTGTATCTGTATACGTTTTCTGTGTTGATGGTCCATCTTGCCCAACGATCTTGTATCTCAGCAGTTGTCAATGTCTAGTAGCCAAATGGCTCGGCTGGAACCAATTGCTAGCAAATTGGATGCCCTGATGTCCATCGGATTGATGGGATTTGGTACGTATGAATCTTTACAGCACCAGATACCTATCGATATGCCTATTGAACAGATGGGATTTGTGTCAAATGATCTTGGGTCACAGTTTTCCTTGGTACCAACTCAGCAAGGTGGAAACACAAAGTCCCTGATATTTTCTCGGCTCCCACAACAGCAACAAGGTGGAAACACAGAGTCCCAAACATATAATCAGCTGCCACAACAGCAGCAAGGTGGAAACATTGGATCCCAAACATATAATCAACATCAGCAAGGTGGAAACATTGGATCCCAAACATATACTCAGCTACCACAACAGCAGCTAGGTGGAAACATTGGATCCCAAACATTTACTCAACTACCACAACAGCAACAAGGTGGAAACATTGATTCCCAAACATTTACTCAACTACCACAACAACAGCAAGGTAGAAACATTGGTTCCCAAACATATACTCAGCTACCATAACATCTCTTAATGTCTAATAAGCATGTAGGAGAAATAGTTCCCACCATGTTGAATAGCCGGAGACAACACCTGTTGCCACCATTGAACAAGCGCAAAGCACCATCAGAACCAATTTCTCCTATTTCTATTCCTCAAATGTTATCTTTGCCAAACAAAAGAGTGGCACAAATGGAACACAGGCCTTGGTTGCAACCAATGTCTGCACCTAGTAAAAGACCTGTTTAGATGCAGACAGTTTCCAATTCACCCGGATCACAGCCTTCCTCAGCATCAAATAAGAAGGCAGTTCCAAATAAGTCTGGGTCATCAGCTTCAAGAAATCAGTCTGCACAAAGTGCCCGCCACCAAAGGTTCAAAAGGAGTCATTTGAATCTGTGAAGTCCAAGATGAGGGAGAATTTAGCTGGTGCACCAGCCCTGGTTTCTCAGAAGCAAGGTGAAAATGCAACGGTGGAGAAGAAATCAAATGGTGAAGCTGTAGGTTCCCCTGGGATTAGAGAAGATGTTTCTCACACTGCTAATTTGAGTTATGGAAATTCAGATGTTGCTCTATACCTGCAGAACCGCAGGGGACATTGCTTTCCAATCGTGGTGGTTCTGCTGATGGAAATAATAACAATGCTACTCAAACTTTGCAATATGATGGGCAGCAACTTCATAAAAGCATTAGTTTACCTGATGAGGGTGTTCCATTTAGTGACAACATTTTTGCAGGGAAATGGCCTTGGGTATTAGAACCTGAAATAGATATGGAAAAGAAAAAAGAATTTATTAAATATCTTTTAATGTATATGGTAACGTCGTATATTAACCTGTATTTTCTGAGATAACCCTCAAGGATCGTAAAACCCTGAACTCAGAGAAAGTGTTGTCTGGCGAAATTCCCCCAGAACGATTATTCAAGTGTCAAATCATAAATAAAATTATAATTTAATAATCACATTTATTATTATGTATTATTTTAATTGATATGAAATTTACGTATCTACGTTATTTTTTTATTTTATTCTTTGAAAGATAATTTTTTTTCTTATAGTTTTATCGTTATCTCACGTCAAAGATGTAATCATCATTTTTCGATTTTTTTTCAATTACTAAAGATAACGACAAATTCTCTCATTGTTTGCTATCACTTTGTTAGTTTATATTTGACCTAATCACTTAAAACTTCCATTATAAATCTAAAACTAGTAGAATCCTAAATCACTATGATTTATGGTATGTACTATTCAATTAATATTGAATCAAGATATATAATTTACTTTGTTTTTCTCTATTTTTTACCGTTGAGATTTAAAATAAGATACGTGCATCATTATTGAAGAATTAAAAATAATTTAAAACTAATTTTCTTTTATAAAAATTAAAAATTTAAGATAATTTTATGATTTTTAAAGAAAAAAATTTAATCTTAATGTTATTAAAAATTTAATGATAAAATGTTTAAAAATAAGAGTAAATTAAAATTTGTTGAATAAATTTGAAACTCTTAATTTTTTGTGATCAGAATAGGAGTGATAAAAAGTTGAAGGATGAAATATAATTTACCCTTAGTTTTATTTATCTTTTTTGTTTAGGGTTCACAAATTTCTTCGCAACAAAGCAAACAAACTACTCAAGGCTAGGATGGTAAATGGGCGGGTCGGGTGCGGACACCCTCTCCCCCATCCCCATACCTATACCCACCTAATATTTTCCAATCAACCACCCGCCCACCACCTACGATGGGTAAAAAATTTCAAATCCACACCCGCCCACGCGGATACATTCTCAAATCCATCCCCACACCCACTATCCAACTGGAGACGTACTCGGCTAGACCCGCCTGACAGCTAGGGGTGTGCAAAAAAATCTGATCCGATCCGTTGATCCATTGATTCGATCCAAAAATTCAGATATCTGATTCGTTTTTCAATTTTCGGATAGTTCAAATTGGGTATCCAATTTTTTTTCCGGATTATTGGATCAGATACGGATCGATAAAAAACTATGTTCGGATTATCCGAAAACCCAAAAAAAATTTGGGCTATATTCGAACACCAGAAGAGGTTTTCGCATAACGCGTGGGCATGGCTTATTCATCCTGAGCTATCGTAGAAGAAGTCCGCACTTAAGTACGCCTTACCAATTCGTACAACTCTAAATTAGGGTTACAAATTTACACGGAAAAAGGAGTTTAATGACAGTTGAAAGACTCTATTGACTCATTCTTATCTTAAAAAGAGAGTTTAAGGCGATAAGAATTACAAATGCTGGATAGACACTTAAACAAATCGATTATTTGAGTTGTAAAAATATTATAGACACAACTTTCTCTGAGTTATTTAATTAGTGACTCTTTGTTTGTTGTTGCACTTGTTTCTAATTATAATAAAGTTGTATTGATTTTGGGATTTTTTTCAAGATATTTTTGTTTTTCAATGCATGAATATACAAATTATAATACATGAATTATTCATAATTTTCAAAATCAGCAGAATGTGTAAATACACTTAAATTCAGAAGAATACCAAAATCGATAATTCAATATACGTACATATAATGTGTTTCTTAAAAATCAAAATCAATATATGAATGTTCTTAGATTCAACAGAATATCAAAATCAAATAACGGAGTATTAACTATTGGCCTTGTATCTTGAACAAAACTAAGAAGTAAGAGGATTAGATTTGAAAACCGGAGTACTCACCTTACGACAAATTAAAACGGCCACAAACAACTTCGATGCAACAAACAAGATTGGGGAAGGTGGTTTTGGATCTGTGAATAAGGTGACATACAACTCTACTACTCGCAGAGGAGACCAGAGTAAAGAAGAGGAAGAAAGCGTACTTGAATGAGCTAGAGACTAGAGTTTGAAACTCGGAGAAGAAGAACTATCAGAATATCAACACAACAACCAACAAGCAAAGCACGAGAGGTTTAAAAGAAAAAAATTGATTCATAAACTTATCCCTAATATTTTGTTAAATTATAAGTTATATCTTATACAATATTAAGATTTATAAATTAGTCTCTAAAATTATACCTAAATTCATAATGATCCAAAATTTAATGGATATTTAGTGGGCAGACAGATGTGAGGCGGGTAAGGTCTTAAACCCATCACCCGCCCGCTACCCGTAACGGGTACCACTTTCTAAATTTACGCCCGCCCACTACCCACTAAAATTATACTCATCCCCACCTCAATTGATTCATAAACTAGAGTTGAAATTTTGCAGGGAAATGGCCTTGGGTATTAGACCCTGAAATAGATATGGAAAAGAAAAAGGAATTTGAAATTGATGGAAATCAGATCCCAGCTGATGAGATAAAGGGAAGGATGATTTAGAGCAATCATTACCATCTCCACAAGAGTTGGCATATCAAATTGAAGCAGAACTCTTTAAATTATTTGGAGGTGGGAATAAAAAGTACAAGGAGAAGGGTAGATCTATGTTGTTTAACTTAAAGGATCGTAAAACCCTGAACTCAGAGAAAGTGTTGTGTCTGGCGATATTCCCCCAGAACGATTATGTTCTATGAGTGCTGAGGAGCTGGCTTCTAAAGAGCTTTCTCAGTGGCGACAAGCTAAAGCTGAAGAGCTTGCTCAAATGGTAGTTTTGCCTGATGTACAAGTTGATATTAGACGCCTAGTGAGGAAAACACATAAGGGTGAAGTTCAAGTAGAGGTGGAACAAACTGACAGTTCTGCGGTGGAGATTTCTGCTGGAATTTCAGTCACCCAGCGACCTAAACCTGATTCAAAACAAGCTTCTAAGAATGATAATACTGTTGGGAAGAAAGATGAATCAGATGATGCAGGTAAAAAGAATAATCCAGAAGTCCCAAATCTTACCATTACCATTCCTTCTAGTGAAGGACCTGATCCAATGCAAGGATTGATGGGAGAGGATGAATTGAAGGATGCAGATATTCTTCCTCCAATTGTTTCCCTTGACGAGTTCATGAAATCTCTTGATTCGGAACCTCCATTTGAGAACATACCTGGAGATGCTGGAAAAGCAGCATCCACTTCTGATAAGGATGACTCATAAGCTGGGCCTGACTCAAAGTCTTCTGGTCGAGCTTCACAAGATATTTTGGATACAATGACTAATAAACATGGCAACACTGATTCAAGTAATCTGAAATCTGATTCAGATTTTAAGCTGAATGACAATCCTACAAAAAAAGAAACTGCAGTTTCAGTGGCCCCGTTGAAGGGTTAACATGTCAGGGAAGGGATGCTTCAGCTGAATATATTCTCATCCATGACATCCTTCATTTGTATTTTTAAGAGGTAAGTTGTGCAAGCAGCATGTTAGGCAAGGCTAGGTTGTTTGTAGCTCCCTTTTTTCCTGATCATAATTTGTTATGATTCTTTCCTTCCTGTATCTGTTTGTATATGCTTCTGTTAAGCTACATATCACAATACTGAGTTCATCTCATCTGTATAGTCGTATGGGTGCGCAGACGAGTGTTTACTTATAACGTGACTCCTGTTTTTATGTAGTTACGACACAAATCTAGGTTTTTTTTTTGTGAAAACATCTTAGCTATGTCACAAATGAACTAGATGAAATTAGATTATAATGTGTTGCGTAAAGAGGCACGATCACTTCTAGGTGGGAATTTGAAATAAATTGATGGAAGACACCCAATATCTTTTTGGCTTATGTGATCATATACATGCACTCTTTTTTTTTTACTTGCTCAGTAATTGTCCTTGAATTTTAACGTCATTTAGGAGGAAATTACAAATATCATATTAAGTTTGGTTGCGCATATTAACTATTTAATTTTTCATGGTGCAGTGGTGAAAAAACTACTACAAAGGACTGGCCTAGCCTTCTTGATATTAAGGGCCGAGTTAGACTTGATGCGTTTGAGAAGTTCCTCCAAGAGCTTCCTATGTCCCGGAGTCGTGCTGTTATGGTATATCAAGTTCATTTGAATTGTAGTGAATTCCTATACTGCCGAATTGTTTACCAAAAGAAAATTGGGATAATAAAATCTTCTTTTACCCAGTTTTTGTCTTCCGTTTGTTTATTTTTGCTCAGTATAGGGTTAAATCTCATTTATGGAACATTGATAATCTATGAATCACTGGGAACTTATTAAGCCTTAAGGTAAAAATTGAAAAGACGAAAGAGATGGAACTTGAACAATATTCCTGTTTGGTTTGAGCAAGAAACATGAGGAACCAGATATATTAGTGAAAAGATCGATCACGTCATTTGAAAGGAAGGGATTCATCTGATTGGCATTTCGTACAAAAA